CAGGTAGAATGAAGGGAGTGAGTCCTAGGAAAGTATGTGGTCTGTGGACTCCAGTTGGGGTGGGGAGTGAAAAATGAATAGGTCATAGGTCCTGGTGGAGTTGAGGAATTGTTGGACTCGTTGTTCCTGGAGGAAGTGAAATAGAAAAGCAAGTGTTTGGTCAGATTTTGCTCTTGATGCATTAATTGCTACCACAGAGATCCAGCACACGGCCATGAGAGTAAGTGGTGGATATGAATGAGGATGTGATGATTGGATGTCAGGAAGTCCAGTAACAGAGGCTGGAGTGAGCCATTATCACGTGCGTTTTGGAGTCAGAATGATCATCAGAGTCGTCAGGGAGACCGAGGCAGTAAGCTTGGAAGCCAGTGAGACTCTTCAGTGAACGCGAATGATGCCGAGTAAGCCGGAAGGTGGTTGTTAATTGCTGATTTTAATCAGCTCTGTGGCTTCTGGTCAGTCAGTTAACCTCTTACAAATCTGTTCCTTTCTGTTTGTACCAATGTAACACGGCAAGTGAGGGGAGACTAGGCACATCATGAAGGACAAGGATCGGCCAGCTTCTTTTATATAAAAATAGTATTTTTTTAATGTTGAGGACATCATGGTCTCTGTTACAACTGCTAACCTCTACTCTTGTAGAAGCATTTTTATAAACATGAAAACCTCAATTATCACAGAAGTTGGAAGAAGCAAGAAAGGGCTGAAAAGGTAAAGAATGGAATTTCCCTTTTAATGCAGTGATGTCTGAGCATTATTTCCTTTAAGCATCAGTTAATGAATTCATTGATCCAGAGTGTGTGTCAGTGATACAATCACACATTTGTCACCACAATCTAAAGTCAAAATACTTTTCATTGATTAGAACTGACTTTTTATCTCATGTCTCTATTTCTCAGTCTCTACCATAATGTTTTACATGTTACAATGTCTTTAATAAACTGTTAATGAATGAAGATAAAAGACTTCCTAAAATTAACAATTTTTAAGAAGCAGTTTTCACCCTTTATGCCAATACAGCATGATGAAAAATTAGAAAGTAGTGGTTATACTTCTGCATATTTTGCTTAACGTTTGAGACAGTTACTAGTTTTTGTATGTAAATAATTTTAAAGGGTATAAAGTCTTTCTATTAATGAGGATTCTGAAATGTGTAGTATTGAACAACCAGTGTGTCTCAGTAGCCAAAGTATATTTATGATGAGATAGGAGTTATTTAAAGCTTAATTAGGACAGAAGGAAGCAGGAAAAGGAATCTATTTTCAGTAAGGTTTGCAGTTTGATTTTTACTTTCGCAAGGATGTCATAGTGTCAGATAAGGATATTTTTTGTTTTCTTTAAGCACTTCCTAAAATGTCATCTGTGAAGGAATAGTCTCTACATTGAGGTGCTGACCTCATTCCATAAATGCATTTGTGGATTTAGGTATTTATTTACTTATTTGTACTTTCATAGCACTTATGTTCATAGCACTTACTGTGTGCTGCTTAAAGCTAGTCGTGTATGTGTGTGTGCTGAGTCGCTCAGTTGTTTCTGACTCTTTGCAACCCTGTGGACTGTAGCCCGCCAGTCTCCTCTGTCCAGGGGTTCTCCAAGCAAGACTACTGGAGTGGGTTGCCGTGTCCTTCTCCAGGAGATCTTCCTGACTCAGAGATTGAACCCGTGTCTCTTAAGTCTCCTGCATTGGCAAGCAAATTCTTTGCCACTGTGCCACCTGGGAAGCCTGTAAAGCAGTTGTTGTTCAGTTGCCCAGTCGTGTCTGACTGTTTGTGACCCCATAGACTGCAGCACGCCAGGCCTCCCTGTCCTAAAGTTTGCCCACGTTCATGGTCATTGCATTAGTGGTGCCATCCAGCCATCTCATCCTCTGACAGCCTCTTCTGCCCTCAATCTTTCCCAGCATCAGGGACTTTTCCAATGTGTTGGCTTTTCTTATCAGATGACCAAAATACTGGAGCTTCAGCTTCAGCATCAGTCCTTCCAGTGAGTATTCAGGGTTGATCTCCCTTAAGATTGACTGGTTTGATCTCCATGCTGTCCAGTGGGACTTTCAGGAGTCTTCTCTAGCACCACAGTTTGAAGGTCTCCCTTGCTGTCCAAGGAACTTTCAGGAGTCTCCTTTAGCACCACAGTTCAAAGGCGTTCTGCCTTTAAGATCCAGCCGTCACAACTGTACATGACAACTGGGAAGACCATGGCCTTGCCTATAGGGACCTTTGTTGATAGGGAACACACTGTCTAGGTTTATCATAGCTTTCCTGCCAAGAAACTATCGTCTTCTGATTTCATGGCTGCAGTCACCATCCGCCGTGATTTTGGAGCCCAAAAAAGGAAATCTGTCACTACTTCCACCTTCTCCCCTTTGATTTGCCATGATGTAATAGGGGCAGATGCCTTGATCATAGTTTTTTTTTTAAATATTTACTCTTAAGCCGGCTCTTTCATTCTCCGTCACCCTCATCAAGAGGCTCTGTAGTTCTTCCTCTTTACTTTCTGCCATTAGAGTGGTATCATCCGAATATCTGAGGTTGTTGATGTTTCTCCTACCTGTCTTGATTCCAGCTTGTAACTCATCCAGCCCAGCATTTCTCATGATGCGATCAGTGTATAGGTTAAACAAACAGGGTGACAACAGAAGCCCTGTCATACTCCTTTCTCGATCTTGAACCAATCAGTTATTCCATACAGGGTTCTATCTGTTGCTTCTTGACTGACAGGTTTCTCAGGAGACAGATGGTCTGATATTAGGTAAGATATTAGGTCTGATATCTGTCTGATATCAGACAGATGGTCTGATTGGGTAAGATGGTCTGGTATTCCCTTCTCTCTAAGAGTTTTCCAGTTTTTCATGATACAGTCAAAGGTTTTAGCATAGTCGATGAAATAGAGATGTTTTTCTGAAATTCCCTTGCTTTCTCTAAAATCCAGCGAATGTTGGCAATTTGATCTCTAGTTCCTCTTCCTTTTCTTAACCGAGCTTAGACATCTGGAAGTTCTTGGTTTGCATAATGCTGAACCCTAGCATGCAAGATTTTAAGCATGACCTTACTATTATGGGAGATGAGTACAATTGCCTGATGGTTAGCACACTCTTTGGTACTACCCTTCTTGGGAATTGGGATGAGGATTGACTTTTTCCAGTCTTGTGGCCACTGCTGGGTCTTCCAGATTTGCTGGCATAGTGAATGCAAAACCTTGATGGTGTCATCCCTAAAGGATTCGAATAGTTCTGCTGGAATTTCATTGCATCCTCTAGCTTTATTAACTGCAGTGCTTCTTAAGGCCCACTTGACTTCGCACTCCAGAATGTCTGGCCCTGGGAGACTAAAGCTAGTTAAGCACTTTATAAAGCTCAATAAATATCTTGAATCTTGGCATATGGATTACATGGGGATTCTCGCCTCTCTGCTCTCTTGTCCTTTCTAGGTGAGTATCTGGCTCATGGAGAGAAGCCCTGTTGGACTTACTCCTGTTCTTCCAGCACTCCCTGCCATCTTCTGCTTCTGTGTCTGTAAAATCCTGTTCCTTCTTCCTGGAACATTCTCTATACATGTCCTTCTGGTTACCTGGCCTTGATTATACATCCATCCTTCTCATCTTGGCTTGAGCACCACTTCCTCAGCACGGCCTTCTTTGGTGGGTACCCTTCTCTCGGTGAGACTGCCTTGTGTTGGGATCAGCGCCAAAATACCGATCGTATTTGTGTCCACCATTGTATCAGTGCTCCAGTCTTCTTCGCTGGAGTAGAAGTCCCATGGAGCCAAGAGCTTTATTTCTCTTGTCCTCCCCACTCCCCTTTTGGTGTTTATGTCATCTGGCACCTAATGGGCTCACAACAAACTGGAGTTGCAAAAAATGTTATTGGCATGTGTATTCTTTTTTTTTTAAATTAATTAATTTATTTTACTTTACAACATTGTATTGGTTTTGCCATACATTGACTTGAATCCACCATGGGTGTACATGTGTTCCCCATCCTGAACCCCCCCTCCCACCGTCCTCCCCATCCCATCCCTCTGGGTCATCCCAGGGTACCAGCCTGAGCATCCTGTTTCATGCATCGAACCTGGACTGGCAGTTCATTTCACATATGATAAATTACATGTTTCAATGCCATTCTCCCATATCATCATATCATCCCACCCTTACCCTCTCCCTCAGAGTCCAAAAGACTGTTTTCTACATCTGTGTCTCTCTTGCTGTCTCTTATACAGGGTTATCGTTAACCATCTTTCTAAATTCCATATATATGCATTAGTATACTGTATTGGTGTTTTTCTTTCAGGCTTACTTCACTCTGTATAATAGACTCCAGTTTCATCCACCTCATTAGAACTGATTCAAATGCATTCTTTTTAATAGCTGAGTAATATTCCATTGTATATATGTACCACAGCTTTCTTATCCATTCGTCTGCTGGTGGACATCTAGGTTGCTTCCATGTCCTGGCTATTGTAAACAGTGCTGTGATGAACATTGGGGTACAAGTGTCTCTATCCGATCTGGTTTCCTTGATGTGTGTGCCCAGCAGTGGGATTGCTGGGTCATATGGCAGTTCTATTTCCAGTTTTTAAGAAATCTCCACATTGTTCTCCATAGCGGCTGTACTAGTTTGCATTCCCACCAACAGTGTAAGAGGGTTCCCTTTTCTCCACACCCTCTTCAGCATTTATTGCTTGCAGACTTTTGGATAGCAGCCATCCTGACTGGCATGTAATGGTACCTTATTGTGGTTTTGATTTGCATTTCTCTGATAATGAGTGATGTTGAGCATCTTTTCATGTGTTTGTTAGCCATCTGTATGTCGTCTTTGGAGAAATGTCTGTTTAGTTCTTTGGCCCACTTTTTGATTTTGTCTTTTATTTTTCTGGAATTGAGCTGCAGGAGTTGCTTGTATATTTTTGAGATTAATTCTTTGTCCATTGCTTCATTTGCTATTATTTTCTCCTATTCTGAGGGCTGTCTTTTCACCTTGCTTATAGTTTCCTTTGTTGTGGCACATGTATTCTTGGCTTTTGTTATTGGAGACATTCAAAACCCAGTTTCTAGTTGCCATGATAATGGTGGTATTTCCTGGCTCCGAAGACAAAGCTGGAGAGATGTGTGGTGCAGCTCATCAGGGAGAGCGTGGGCCGCACTTTGACTCTGAGCTCATGGCATGTCATCAGTTCATTGCTGAGGTATTTGGTGCTGAGCCCCTTGATCGCTGGGCTTCCCTCGTGGCTCAGGCAGTAAAGAGTCCGCCTGCAATGCAAGAGAACCCAGTTCGGTCCCTGGGTTGGGAAGATTCCCTGGAGAAGGGAAATGGTTACCCACTCCAGTATTCTTGCCAGGAAAATCCCCATGGGGTCACAAGAGAGTCGGACATGACTAAGCAACTAACAGTTAACACTTTTTCACTTTGCTGGGTCACGAGCAAGGATGAAAGTACTATTAGGAATCCAGTATTAGCTGCTGTGGTGGGAAAAACCAGTTGTGTCCAATTGGTGTTTAGTTTTTATTTGGATAGAATATATTTTGGTGTCATGTGAGTATCAAAAGAACTGGTCTAGTCCTAGATAATGGAATTGCTAAATAAAATGTTAGGCTTCTCTGTTTGCACCAGTTATAGTGGAATGATATTCCCATTTCCCTTACAATCTTTTTGTGGAGAGTAAAATTAATTTCAAAACACAAATCTGAAAAATTTCCCAGGAGCTGTGTGTCTGTTTTTTTACCTCACACCTTTGGTTTGACCTCAGAAGCCCAATGATGACTTCAGGTGAAAAGAAGCAAAGACTGAAAAAGAAAAAAGCAAAGACTTTCCTTATTAGTCAAAAAAAAAAAAAATTACAAAATATGGACATATTCAGCTGAAGCCTTGATGTTTGAGGTAAATGTATTAATAATTCAGGTTTTTCTAAAGCTAGGGGATTGGATGCCCATATGTAGCTTTGCTTAGGATCATTATATGTTCTGTGAGCTTGCTTTCTATTTGAGAGGAAAAACTTGTCCTTTGAAGAAATGTGGCGCACACACTCTTAATAGAACATGAAAGAAAAGGCTCTTCATGCCAAGAAATCCCTCACGTGAGATGGAATCTCTTTCAACAAATCTGGTGACAAGCTTTTTCTGAAAGCTTAGAAGAAGGATGAAATCTTTTGTGTTGAAAAAAAAAGCTTTTTATTTCTGGCTGCGCAGGGCCTTCATTGCTGTGCAGGCTTTTGCTCTGGTTGCGATGAGCAAGGGCTCCTCTTCCCTTGCGGCTTCTCATTGCGCTGGCCTCTCTTCTTGCCGAGCACAGGCTCTAGAGCGCGTGGGCCTCAGTAGTCGTGGCTCCCCGGCTCCAGAGGACAGGCTCAGAGGTTGTGACCCACGGGCTTAGCTGCTCCAAGGCGGTTGGGGTCTTCCTGGATCAGGGATTGAACCCGTGTCTCCTGCCTTGGCAGGTGAGTTCTTTACCACTGAGGCACAGAGGAAGCGCAGGATGAAATAACTTGAATTCATGGCCGTCCCCCTCAGCCTTTCATTCAGAGTGTGTGAAGCCTGCCTGAAAACTCAGGCTCAGCGCCGGCAGCCCCTGTTGCACAGCCAGTCTAGGCAACTTTGCCTGCCTCTCTAGGCAACTTTTCCAGTTTCTAGGTGGGACGGTTTCCAGGTTGCAGTGACGATGTTTAGGTCTACAGCAAGATCTAGATGTGCTCTAAGACACAGCGCGATTCAAAAAATGAGACATCAGGACTCCCAGAGTGGGGGTAACCCACCAGCCTCTCAGGGTCACATTCAAGTTCAAAACTGTGGGTGTCGGCAGTTCAACAATGAGGGAAACGAGCCCCTTTTCAGGTTTGGGGGATTTTGTTGTTTTCCTTCTAACCAAGGACTGAGCTATTTTTCCTTTATCACATTGGGCATCATAGCTTTTCCTCCATACCTTGCTCCCCTGGTGGCTCAGTGATAAAGAACCTGCCTGCAATGCAGGAGGCCCAGGTTTGGTCGCTGGGTGGGGAAGACCCCCTAGAGAAGGAAATGGCAGCCCACTCCAGTGTTCCTGCCTGGAGAATGCCATGGACAGAGGAGCCTGGTGGGCTACAGTCCACAGGATCGCAAAGAGACATGACTGAGTGACTAACACTTTCACTTTCTTTCACATTTTCCTGAAGCAGCAGCCCCGTTTACAAGTTCCGTTTTGCTTAGGGTATCAACATCTTGATGCTGCTGGGAGCTTTCTGCCTTCATTCCCCGAGTCTCAGTAAAAGTCCACCCACCTTCATATTTGCGAGTTTTTCCCATGCTGTTAACATTCCTCTTTAAAATGGAAACACACTGTTTCCAGCTCTGCCCTGCTTGCTTGACCCTCTGTATCACTGATGATATGTAGAAATCAAATAGGCATCGCTGCCTCTGCATTCTTTTCCCAATTTGAGTCTTTCCTCTGTTTGGAGAGATGGCTGCGTGCTGTTAGTGAGGGCCCTATGACCTCAGCCTTTGGCAAGAATTCAACAAAGCAAGACCTCAGCCAAGAAATTGAACTGGATCAAACTTCTGAACAGCGTCCAAAACACAGAATCAGGGCTTCTATCATCCCAAGTAAGGACCGAAATAACCCCTAAAAGCTATGTCTCTCAGCGACACAAATGTAATAAAATATGTGAGGATATTACTACTTTTTTTCTTTTTAATCAGTAATATCCTAGGGTGAAAAAAGAGAATTCTTTCCTTCATATTGGAAGTGGTAGCCAACATAAGTCCCCCCACTGTTTTTTCCCGCTCTCAATAGATGCATTTTTTGTTTGATTTTAGTTTGCTTTCATTGTCATAAAAATCAGAATTTAGCTCTCTACCCAAATACGTGAGAATTATTTTTAAAATTTATGACAAATCTCAGATGGGTCTAGGGTAAAGAATGTACACTTGTTGAGATATGAAAGGCAATCTCTTGAGAGCATTTTATGGGAACCATGCTATTTAAATATTTCTATGCTTTCCCAAACCACTCTTGGCTTCCTGCCCTGGGGAGTGAAGCCTCATCGCAGAAGGGCAGGGGAGAAACTCTGGATTAGAAATCAAGAGATGTAAAAGCTGACCTCAATACCTACTGCAAACTTGTTTTGTCTTCCTGGGCAGATCTTTTCCTTTCTCTTTACCCTGTGGTGAACTGATCAGTATGATGATATGGTTAAAACTTAGCCGCCTTAAATCAGTTTAAACTTGATTTAATTTTGTTGTTCTTTCCACTGCAGTGTCCTCTTATCAAATTGTAAACTTACATAAACTCTAGTACATCATTTAGATAAAAGATGATACATGAATTCTAAGTTAGTCTTCATTAGAGAGTTAAGCCATGAAAACAGGCTGTGTGAGCCTTTATAAACAGTTGAAATGGGAGTCATTAATTTCCTAAGGCTGCTGTAACAAATTACCACAAACTGCTGGTATCTTTTTTTTTTAATATTTATTTATTTGGCTGCATCTGGTCTTAGTTGCAACTTGCAGAATCTTCCTTGTGACACACAGACTCTCGAAACGTGGGCTTATTCGTTGTGGCAGGGGTCTTACTTGCTCTGAGGAATGTGGGATCTCAGTTCCCTGACCAGGGATCAAACCTATGTCCCCTGCATTGTAAGCTGGATTCTTTACTACTGAACCACCAGGCAAGTCCCAAACTTAACAGTTTTAAACAACAGAAATTTTTATTACCTCGCAGTTCTGGAAGCTGAAGTCAAAAATCAAGGTGTGGTCAGGGCCATGCTCCTAGCAAAGTCTGGGGAAGGATGCTTCCTTGCCTCTTCCAACTTCTGGCCACCCCAGGCATTCCTCAGCTCCCAGCAACATAATTCCAATTTCTGCTCATGTTCCCATGGCTGTCCTTCCTCTGTGTTTGTGTCTCTGTGTCTTTACATGGAGAACTCTTTTTGTGTGTCTGTTTTCTAAGAACATCAGTTATTGGGTTGAGTGAAAGTGTTAGTCACTAAGTCATGTCCGACTCTCTGCAGCCCCATAGACTGTAGCCCGCCAGGCTCCTCTGTCCATGGAATTCTCTAGGCAAGAATACTGCAGAGGGTAGTCAATCTCTTCTCCAGGGGATCTTCCTGACCCAGGGATCCAACCTGAGTCCCCTGCATTGCAGGCAAATTCTTTACCATCTGAGCCAACAGGGGAGCCCACGTTGGGTTGAGGGCCCATTCCAACTGAAACTGACCTCACCTTAATTATATTTGCAAAGACCCTATTTTTTTTTAATATAAAGACCCTATTTTCAAATGAGGTCACATTAACAGGAACTGGGGTTTAGGATTTCAACCTATCATATGGGGGGATCAATTCAACAGTAATAAGAGTGACAGATGACATTTGCAGGGTTGTATTAACGCTAGTAACCAATTCACTTCTCTGTTTTTTTGGTAATACCATATGGAAAAAAATACTGGTGCACACTAATCAGTAAATGTAAATGGTGGTCTTTTTTTTTTTTTATGTAAACATGTCATTTTGCAATCTCAATCTTAATCCCTTCAGTTAAACTGATCCCAAGGTCTGAAAGAGCCACGTGGGGAAATGTATGCATCAACATTAAATTACTGACAATTTCATGAATAATACTCACCTTCCTTATTGGAGAGGGTTCACTTTTTTAAAGGAGTTGATAAATGGACTCTGGAGGAAGCCTAAATCATCATTATATTTGGCTGAAATTGTGTTTTCCAGTGTCATCATACCCTGAGTTTAATGGCACCGTTTGAAGACATCTCACTAATGACATGTCCTGTCACATTCCTTCAGAGTTTCAAAAGAGTAAAAATAGTGTTGTTTCTGCTATTGTGAGCTGTAATGGGGGGAGCATGAAATCCAAAGGAACCCTTTCAACTGGTTGAAAACAGTGTCCAGCTACTCCAGCTGGTCCAACTAAGTTATATTCAGATGTTTTGTTAATGGAGGTTTAGGGCTTCGCTGTTATTTCAGACAGTAATGAATCTGCCTGCAAAGCAGGAGACCCGGGTTCGATCCCTGGGTCGGAAGATCCCCTGGAGAAGGGAATGGCAACCCACTCCAGTAATCTTGCCTGGAGAATCCCTATGGACAGAGGAGCCTGGCAAGCTACACTCCACGGGGTCACAGAGGGTCGGACACGACTGTATGACTAACAATACTTTTCTAATACATAAGTAATTTATATTTTTATTGGAAATATCTGCACCAGAACCTTGTTTTGAAACTACTAAAATGTTGAGTGTGAAAACATGCATTCTGGAACTTACCACCTTTATTCTGAAATGTCCCCAGTTAAGACCTGTAATAAATTTGATAGTCTTTATGTCTTTATCCAGCTTCTTGCAGAATTGCCGTACAACCTTTCAGCACAAGTGCAGTGACCACCAGCATGTTTCAGCAACTGCTTTTATCTGAACGACTCTTTCTGTAGCCTCAGTATATACACGGTTCATTTTTGATAAGCTGTTCAGTATCATAACCTAAAAGCATTTTTTCCCTCTGTTGTGTGTTATCTTAATACGTCTTCCTTGTGTTCATTTGGATTATTTCATATGAAAAACAA